TACTTCGATATGGATGGGCTTTCTTTAGGTCAATGGGTTGAGAGGGCTTTAAGTTTTGTATGTTTTGTCCCTAAACGTAAATAGGAGGGTGTACTTTAGGGCCACTAGTGAATGGGCATTTGCCCTATGTTGAGAGGTGCATTAACGCGAGGCCAATTGAAGGGAAGCTAAGAGTTTGCAGAAGTATTCTTCTTAGTTTGTGTCCTTAATTGTGTAGGCCTTTATTTTATTTTAGGATAATTTTCTAGACTCAAGGAAGTTAGAGTTGTGTTATTTAGATTATATAAGGTCGGCCTAAGCTTTCGTCTACCCAATTTTTGTTTGAAGGAATGAGAGATTGGGACGTGTATTACCATGGATTTCCGGTCTTATTTTATTTTATTTTTGTGGACATGTGTATCTAAATTGTTTTCTAAAGTTGTTGAAGAAGCCATGACATGAATATGCAAGTATTGTCCTTTATTTTAGGTCCGTTTGGGTAACAAGACAAAGAAAAAGATAACAAGGACAAGGTCAAGGAGGAACGGGAAAGTCATCCCCGCCCAACCGGGTGCATGGGGGACTAAATACTTTCCTGTTTCCTTCTTCTCCCAATTACAAGCAGTAATTAATTAATTAAGGCAGTGAGCAGACGCAAGCATCCACACACACATGCATGTATATATATATATATCGCATCAGGTGAACCATCACACACAGTTAATAAATTTGAAACCCTAGCTAACTAATGTTCCAGTTTCTCTCTTTCCCAATCACAATTAAAAAAAAAAAAGACAAGCATCAAACTTGCTTGACAAGTTAACAATGGCCGATTATGATGATGACGTGGGTTTTTGGTTTAAGCCAGCTGATCAAGAACTCATCAACTTCTTCCTCTACCGGAAGGTTGTTCTCCGACAGCCACTAGTGCCACGACACGTTGGCTTTGTGCATGAGATTGATCTCTTGGGAGACCACCAGCCCTGGGAGATTTGGGATGCCTGCGGAGGACCACAGCCCTACGGCAAACAAGCCTATTTCTTCTGCAAGCTCAAGAAGTTGTCAAAATCCGGTGTCCGCATTGATAGAAGGAATGCATCCGAAGGATTTTGGCAACGGCAAACAACTCAGCGAAGACGTTTTTGTCCATCATGATGTAAACCCTAATAATAAGTGGATTATTGGTCGAAAAAGACAGTTTAAGTATGTCAATGAAGGGTTGGAGAACCATCACGATTGGTACTTGGAAACTTACATTCTTGCTAGCATTCCTGATGATGATCAAGCGGTGGTTGCGATTTGCCGACTTAGAAAGAATTACCACAAAAGAAAACGGTATGCACCCCAAAGAAATCGAAGGAGAATCAACGGCCGCAAAGAAAGACATGGAAGGAGAATCAATGGACAATTAATGGAAACAAAAAGGTAAAATTGTCTACACAATTAGAACTAGGGCCACCATTAGAATTAGAGCAACCAATATTATATCGATCATGTGAAACCAGAGAGACAAAGCTGCTCAAGTAATTTTACTACTGATGAGAAGTTGAACATAATCGACGACGTTGCGACTATGGGTTGTGATCAATGTGATTATATTAATTATGCTTCTGGGTATGATCACTATGGTGCTACTAGTTGCAATTGGAAAGAGTACTTTATACACGGGCTGCGGGAGCTGCCGGTGGACGTCAACGTGGATGAGTACCTGATGAGAAGCCTAGATGCCGAGAACCAAATGCCGCCGCAGCTGCGCCTGAGATGGCTGAATATAATTGTGAAAACCAAACGCCGCCGCTGGCCTTGCCAACTTCTGGGATGGATTATGGTGATCATGGACTAGTGGGAGCTAGTAAACGTAATCCAAGTCCTTTTGGGGTTTGGTCCGAATCGTTGGATGACCCTCACATCATTACATATTAACATATTCAATAGCAATATACAACCAATTAAGATTTGGATGCAGTGCAGCAGTGCAGCAGTTTAATCTTATTTCTTCGTGTTGCTATACCAAATTAACTTTTGACTAGTTTTAATTTATTAATAGTAGGGTTTATCACAAATGGTCTTTGAAATGAAGGCAGATTCTCTGCCCTCCCACTTTCCGTGCCCTCCTGTGCCCTTCTATTTTGTGTGGTCACGGTTAAGCCACGTCAACATTTTATATTGTTTTTTTATAGAGATAATAAGACAAAAAGGAATAGTAATATAAAATGTTGACATGGCTTAACCGTGACCACAAAAACAAGAGGGCACAGGAAGTGGGAGGGCAGAGAATCTGCCTCCCTTTGAAATTGACCCTCACCAATCACTATCAAAATGGTCCCTGAAATTGAAAATCAATCAATGTAATCCCTGAAAATAAGTGTTGTAAATTAATGTGATCATTTCGTCACAATTTTGTTAAAATTACCGTTTAATGTTGATGTGCCACATAAATGGGCCCACAAGATTTATCGATTTTTATCACAAATGGTCTTTGAAATTGACTCATACCATCAAGACAGACCTCATCGTTCTTTGAGTCATCAGACCACTAGGGAAGCGTCAAACAAGCTCTCCAAGATTAAGGTTGCAAGGATGTTTATCGCCTCAATGTTAACGAATATGTCTCAGAAGTCGTTGCTAATTGGCCAAGCCATCATCAAAGGTGATCTCGATCCGGGTTTAATTTGGTGAAAGGTGTCGAAGTATATAAAGATGGGTGTGTTGAGGTTTTTTTTTAGAGAATAGACAACGCACGAGGTAGAGGAATGTGGACTGGGATTGGATGTGATCGGATGACTGAGTTTTTGGGTTGACAACTTTTTATTAACTATTAAATTATTAAACCTATTTGTAATTTTTTAAATTTAATTAGACTTCTATTGCCTATTTGTGTGTTACACCAGCTCATAACAGAATTTTTCACAGAATTGTGACGAATGATTTGAGACACTTACTTGTGAGATTACATTATCGATTTTCAATTTCATGGACCATTTTGATGTCGCGGGTTAATTTCAAGAACCATTTTGATATCCAAGTCAATTTCAAGGATCCATTTATGTGCCACATCAGCACTTAACAAAATTATGACTGAATGACTACATTGATTTGCGACACCTATTTTCAAAGACTACATTGATTGATTTTCAATTTTAGGAACCATCTTGATGGTGATAGTCAATTTCAGAAATCATTTGTAAATTATAATAAAACCTTTAATAGTATTATATAATGTTTGTTTAATTCCTTGCGTATTCTTTAATTTATACTTAATTGCTCTTCCCCAATTGTATAATATATACTCTTGGTCCATCTTTGAATGCACTGGTATAAAAGTCGCAATTTAATTCTTTAGGGATCCATGCAATTACGAATATAATAATATATTCGTTGAATATATGAGGAGATAATTAGGGCAGTTCATATGTCTGCCTCTCGCCATGTAAAAAAAAGTTTCCATGCTGATCATAATAACTTATATATACATTCATATTTTTTTTCAACATATGAATGCAATGAGAAACCCTAAGCGATATTTTAATTTTTTTTTTTCAAACAAAACTTTGTCGTCCCATATCAAATTTGTTTATTTTAGCTTTTTTTTTTTCCCAAAAGTTGTAAATCACGTTAAAAAAAATTTATTACTTATAATCAATCATAAATTGTAATTCACGATATTTGATAGTAAAGATCTACTGTAATAAAGTGTATGTTATGTGTCACTAAAATAAATGGTTATTAATAAATAGCGATGTTTTGATAAAATCAATAGTAATCACAAACAAATTTCTTCGAGTATGACATCATGCATTTGCTTACATGTACAAAATAAAAAGCGAACTGCTAAGGAGACTCTTAAAAGTGGGACTTTATACCTTTTTTTTTTTTTGGCACAATTTTCGTGCAATATTATAAAACACAATGTAAAAAACATGAGGTTGTGGTGAGTTCACGGAGAGTCACACTTTAAGAGAGTTTCCTTAACATTTTTCAAATAAAAAATATGTGTCTCCTACATTACAATTCAGGGTTTAGGCCAAAAGCATAAAGTGGTGGTGAGTTCATGAAGAGTCACACTTTGAGAGAATTTCCTTAGCATTTTTCAAATAAAAAATGTGTCTCCTACGTGACAATTCATAAATCAATACATAAAAAATCATTAATTAGATTGATTATGGAGTAGTTCATCACATACCCTATTCATGTTTTCTAATAAATTCAGTTTTTTCAATTCGCAATTTTGCTATTTTATGTCGAGCATTATGGCTGATGGTGAGGTAGAGCAAACAAAATTGACAACTTGTGAAGAGTGAATAATAGAGATGATGGGGTAAAGGTTGGTGCACAGATGTTGGTGGACATGACTGTAACTGGGAAGATCACGGAGGTGTTGATAGAAGAAATCATTCACAACATTCAAATGTTAGCTTTTCATTTCCGTTGTGTTGTAACAACACAACACATGAGGTAGTAGCTCATGTTTTTAAGAAGAAGAGAGTGTATTAGTGGGATAATTGAAAACCAGTTTAACTTTTCAATAGTGAAGCTATCATATTAATTCATATTTAACTATCAATAAAACCAGTTTAACTTTTCAACCGTGACGCTATCATATTAATTCGTATTTAACTATTAACAAAACTCATGTATCCTATGAAAAAAAAGTAGCATTATTTGGTTGTAATTGGTTTTAAACCAAATTTATAACTAAATAATATGGTTGTTGATAGTTAAATTATTAATTAAATGTTGATTAACGTGCTTATTTTTTATTAATGATACATAATTTATTTTCAAATTTAGTTTTAAAATTGGGCATTCTTAAACTTATTCTTAGATTTATGATATACTTAAAAAAAGGTTAATCGACAAAAACAAATGGTCAACGTCTCAGTCCTCGCGGATGTAAAAATAAAATAAAAGAAAGTGACTCTACACTAGCATAAGCCGAGAGTGCGCAGCATAGTAAACCTGCGCATACACTTGCAGCGTAAACCAGTGTGTAGAAGGAGGGAACATAAGAAAGGGAGGGAAAATAAGAAGAGGGAGGGAAAGAGGATTGAGTTGGAAGCGAGCGAGTTGACCGAGTCGGCGAGTCGGAGAAGAAACAAGAAAATAAAAAGGGCACAGGCAGCGGGGAATTTCGGGGAAAAAAAAAACTTGGGCTTTTGGGTCGTGGAATTAGCAAAATGGTGAACACGAAGGTTATTAGGCAGCCAAGCCAGTCCCCTTCTCTCCTCTCTTCTCCTTTACCTCTCTCTCCACCACCCTCCTTTCTCTCTCTTCTTTCTCTCTCCTCATCGCATTACCCTAAATTCTCCAACTCTCTCTCTTTCTCTTTCTTCCCTTTCTCTAACCCTAGCTCCTCCACCGCCTGTCTCTCTACCCGAACCAGACACCCACCGCATTCTTTTTATTTTTACTCTCCCCACCCCAAATCTCAATTCCCAATTCGTCATTCTCTCTCTGCGTCTCTCTCTATTTCTCTATTCTCTCCGCTCTATACTTGGTTTGTTATTCTCTCGGGAGGTTTTCGATTGCTTTTGCTGCTGCGGCGGCTTCGGGTGGTGCACCAATTGGGTTCGATTCGCCAAGGTATTGGATCGGTCTATTGGTTGTGTTTTTGTTGATTTTGTTAGGTTTTTTTTATGTGGGTATTTAGATTTCAATCTGTTGTGTGTGGGTTTTTGGGTGAGTGTTTGATTGTGGTCTTCAGTTTGTTTCTGATGAATGATGAGGGTGTGCCATTGTCCTTGTCTTGATTATGTTCTGAATTGGTGTATTTTTTAGGTTTGGAGGTATGCAATTTTGGGGCTGGGTTGCTTTTAATTTCCTAAATTTGTGGACTTGATTTCGAATTGCTTCTAAATTCTGCTACTTTCTGTCAATTGTTGCTTGATTTGGGGTTTTCGTTGCAGCCCTTTATGGAATTAGTAGAGTTTTTGCAATATCCCACCTCTTTTTTTATTTTTGTTGCGTTGTGTGTTTTGTAATGCTCGTTCTATCGTGTTTGAATGTCATCGGTTTGATTGTTATTGTTTTTGTTAGTTATCTGTTAACTACTAGGACTCTGGGTTTTCAGCTGCATACTGATCAGCTGGCAATACCAATTTGTGTTGTTGTCAACCTGAGTTGCTTTCCGTTCCTAATTGGATATCATGGCTTAATTCGCTGTTTGTTGTGATTCTCACGGGTGTCATATTATGAGTGCTTAACACCCTTCTCCTACGTGCTGTTGTGTTACTGATGGCACATGATTTTTTTGTTCGGAATTAAACATGTTTCCTTTTTTCTGGGTAGGGCTTTTGGCTTCGCTGGAGTACCTTGTTGGCGTTGTATTTTTCTTATTTCATGTTTCGATAAGTAGTGGCATTGGAAGAACTGAGTTGTAGCAACATTATCTCATGGAAGACTTGGGCAATAATCATAGACTGGACAGTATAAGCAGTGCTGTAAGAAAGAAGAGAAGTCAAACGTTTCGTCGACCTCGACCTGATTCATTTACTGAACTCCATGATCAGTCACCGTTGTCATCAACTACACCTTCGGATGATCAGAGCAAGGTCTCTAGTGATGAGAATGCAGGTTGTGATGCCAATTCAAAGAGAAAAGAATTAAGTCTTAATGAATGCATGGCCAGGGGGTCTTCTGCAGCAGGTAATGGCAAAAAATCTCACAAAAAGGATAGTAAGGGTGGAGGATGTAATTTGTTTTACAAGAATGAGACAGGACAAAATGGGAGCAATAACAAGCGTTCTGACGAAGGTTGCCTTGCCCCTGCTAATGGGAAGAGCTCAAGCGTAATGAAGGATGATTTGATATTGGAGTCAATAAGTGATGATGCATTTAATGGGAGAAATGGTGAAAGTCCAAGTACTGGGTTGTCAGGGTTAGATGGATGTGGAAATGAGAACAAGGTTAAAAAGGTTAAGCTCAAGGTTGGTGGTGTCACACGTACAATTCAGGCCAACTCTACATTGAATGGTACAACGGAGGGTGGGTCTTCTACGAAGACTGCTCGATTGTCAGATGTGTCTAGACCATGGCAGAAGCAAAATCTTCTGGTAATAACTATTGCTCTTCTTAGCTTGAATCAGGGACTCAGTATCTTCCCAATTATACGAAGAGGATTTTTAAGTTTTTGAGGTCTTGCATCATAGTATTTGAGATTTATGCGTATGCATTTGTGTTATGGGCCCTTATTGTCTTTGTTAAAAATTTGAACTTTGAGTGTACTTATTAGAAAGAATGTTAATTTTGTGTTTAAAATTTGTGGTAATCAACTTGCTTGTTTGTTTGACCAGAGCAGATAGTCTACTAGTCACCATGTGGATCATGTTAATTGGATAAATGGATATTTGGAATCTCCTTCTGTATGGAAATTTATCTTTTGCAATTATGTGGGCGTATGAGCATAATAAATGCATATGTTATGGTTAGTCTATTAAGATATTTTCATTAAACAAATTTTCCATAACAGGGAAATTCGGACGATAATCATTCTCCTTTGGATAAGAAGCGAGGCTTAAAAGGAATTCCATGGAAGGATTTCTCAAGAAGTGGTGTTAGTCTTGGGAGAGATAATTATTCGATGGGCAGGACAGCGGGAAAGAGTACCTCTGGAAGGGAAGGCGATAGATCTGAATCAGTTCGGAAGAGCAAGCGAGTGCCTAAGAGGCGCGTCCTTGATGGAGATTTTGGAGATGAAGAAGAGGATGATGAGATTCGGTATCTGGAGAAACTGAAAATATCAAAGGTTGCTACAGTGTATAGAGATGATGATGATGATGAATCAAGCAGGAAGCACAGAAAACTTTCTGCAGTTTCCAACATTGATAATGCCGGTGCATCAAGGTTGGATAAAGACCTTAAAAGGAAGTCGAGAACTGATAGAGTATCTGGAGACACTGATTATGAGGAAGAACAAGATTCATTATCTGATGGGGAGCTTGAAGGTAAAAAGAAACAGAAGAAGGAAGCTGTTGATTCTTTGATGGATGGTAAGAAGGAAATGACTCTCACAACTCGTCAAAGGGCCCTTCAGTCAGGCAAAGATGCCGCCCCTGGTTCAAGCTTAATTGAGTTTCCTGACGGATTACCACCTGCACCATCTAGAAGTGAGCTTTTCCACCATGATTTCATGTATTTGAATTTTTTGTTACTGTAGTTAATTGTAATATTTACATGTTATTGTTTTGGTTGATCACAGAGCAAAAGGAAAAACTTACAGATGTGGAGCAGCAACTGAAGAAAGCTGAGGCTGCTCAGAGACGAAGAATGCAGGTTGAGAAGGCTGCTAGAGAATCAGAGGTATGCTTGTTATTTGCCTTACTTTCATAATGTCCATTAATTTCTTCTGAGTTAGAAGTGGAAATCAGACTTATTTATGTAGTTATTTCTTGTTATTGAATTATGTAGGCTGAGGCTATTAGAAAAATTCTCGGTCAAGATTCCAGCAGGAAGAAACGAGAAGACAAGATAAAGAAGCGACAAGAAGAAATTGCACAGGTATTGAAACCTATGAGATGATCTCCCTCCCTTCCTCTTTCTCTGTCTCTGTAACATGCTAGCAGTTCGGTCTTATCACTCGTTATTTTATGCAGGAGAGGGCTGCTAATGCGTTGACACTTCCACCAAACACCATCAGAACTGTGATGGGCCCTGCGGGTACTATAGTGACTTTCTCTAAAGACATGGGTCTCCCTGGTTTATTTGACGCGAAACCCTGCAGGTAATTACTTTTCTTGCAAGTTTTAGCCAATCTCTATGCCTGTTTCCTAATAGGGTGTAACTTCTTGTGGCATGGAAATTCAGCTATCCTCCTCAGCGTGAGAATTGTGCGGGTCCATCGTGTACCAATCCATACAAGTATAGGGATTCTACGTCAAAGCTTCCTCTTTGCAGTCTTAAGTGCTACAAGGCAATCCAGGAAAAGACGGCGGTAGAAAATACATGCTAATGTCTGCAACAATCTTGTTCTAGCTTTGAAGTTGCATGCCGCAGGGTGAGGCAACATTCCATTCTTTTCAATAGCATCTTTCGGCGATGGCGGGGGATGCTGATGATTCTACAGAGAGTAGTTGATAACTATTAAGTACATATTTAGGGGGTTTGTGGTATAACATTCTTAACTCAGAGTAGAGATTTTTATACAAGTACAGATTGTTTATCCGTTGCAATATAATATAATATAATCCCCTTCCATCTCAATGGTATTGCATTTGCACTCCCATTTGAGCAAAATTGCACTTAATGTTTTAATTGGTTAAAAATGCTTGTATTGTGTAAGCACTTTTTGGAGAGAACAGTTTATGTGCTTCTTGGGAAGGACTTCAAGTATTTTTCCTTGGGTACCTGGAACATAAGTGCTTATGAGTAGAATCGATATCAACAAGCCCTCAAAATTGGTTAGACTAGTTGACGAGGACAATGCGTCCTGCACATTGCATTTGTGTATCCCTATTTTGTAGTTATTGATTAAAGTGGTTTAATGTATCGCTTGTTAAAAAAATTAGGATCAATTTCAAAAATAAAATCTTACTCGTGTGCTTTTTTACCCGAGTTGTGTTTTCGTCCTTAAATTCCAAATAAAAATCCTACAAATTATGGGCTACATCTTAATGGGCCCATGGGCTTTAGGCTAGGAAGGAGGAGGCCCAATAAAGTTAAGAATCGGGTGGAAGATAATTACAGAGTGGAAAGGTGGTAAGGTGTTGCTTGCTCCAACGCTCCACTCTCCCTGAAGCCTGCCGCCGTGTGAGCTTCCTTCCTTTCTTTACTTTTTGCAGATAAGGCGCCAAACAATTCAACTTCGTCATTTCTTCCCCAACAATTTACACTCCGACCAACTCAGAAATGGCGCAGACCTGCGTTTCCACCTCCGCCTCTGCTCTCAGATTCAACTCCCTCGTCCTCGCTCCAAACCCTAGCTCTTCTCCCAACCGAAGGCCCTCTCTCTCCCCTTCCAACGCCTTCCTTCAAGGTAATTTAGCTTCAAATTCACTCTCTGCATTTAAATTTTTTCTAGGTTGTTCATTTGTGATCGCAAGGTCACGGTTCGAGTCGTGAAAAAAAAAGCAGGATAAGGTTGTGTACGATAGATGCTCCCGACTCTCGCAAAGCGGGGAGCTTTTGCTTGGGGTAGCCCTTTTTTCATTAGTTAGTGAAATTTCATATATTTTTTTAATACTTTAATAGAACTATTTGGATTGGTTAAGATGAGAAATTTGATGTTTTATAATTTGGAAAATAGCGGAAAACCCAGAAAGCCTGGTAATTGGTGAGAAAATTGATGGGATAATCGAAAGCAATGCTATGTGTTCTTTTTGTGTGTTTCTAGACGTTTGGGAAACTTATTCAGCTTAAGCTAAACATATGGGATGAAGAGACTTTAAATTTTTGCTAAACCCAGTTCTGTAGATTTTGTATCTCTGCTTTGTTCATGGAAATTTGCTTAATTTGCTAAATGTGAATGCAACGTAAAGGAAAGATTTTTTTTTTTTTTTTTTTTTTTTTTTTCCATTTAGCGGGGTCGGATAAAAACCTTATGGTTATAATGGTTTGCAGGATGTTTAAAAATTTAGTTGGAGCAGCAAAAAGAGTTCTCCAGTGAAAGCTATCTACTCTGGTGAATTTTGGACACCGGCGGAAAAGAATTCTCGTCAAGGAATTTGGTCCATAAGGTGGATTTAGTCTGCATGCATTATTAATATTTTCCGGACAAGAAGGTTGTGCATATCATTCATTTGTTTGTACGTCACTATGAATTTGATGTTGTAGGGAGGATGTGCAAGTTCCATCTTCACCATACTTCCCTGCGTATGCACAGGGACAGGGGCCACCCCCCATGGTGCAAGAACGCTTTCAAAGTGTTATTAGTCAGCTTTTCCAATATGTAAGGAGTAGCTATTTGTGTTTTTCTTCCTGTTTAATTTGGCGTGTTTTGCATCAGGTAGTTAGTTTCTTTTAACAAATGCTTCTCTTGTTTACATGACTGTCAGAGAATAATACGTTGTGGGGGAGCAGTTGATGATGATATGGCAAACATAATTGTTGCTCAACTTCTTTACCTTGATGCTGTTGATCCTCAGAAGGTCTGTACTAATCTATTTCTGCTCTTTGCTTATCGTTGCTCTCTCTCTCTCTCTCGCATGTTTCTTGCAGTGATTTTTGGAATTGAACGGATTTTTTCAATTGATTGATCAGTTAGTCTCTTCTGATTTCTGAACAGGATATTGTGATGTATGTAAATTCACCAGGAGGATCTGTTACTGCTGGTACGATCTATCTTACAAAATTGTCTTGCTATGTTTACAGTTTTTTGTTCATAAGGCAATTGTTATATGTTACTTGAATAACTAGCTCTTTATCTGCCTAGGTATGGCCGTTTTTGACACAATGAGGCATATCCGACCTGACGTCTCCACAGTATGTGTTGGACTTGCTGCTAGGTACCTGCCTCTATCATAGACTCTTCTCTTCCCCAGTTACTACTAATGAGTCTTCCAGTGTTCTGTATGTGTCTAGTGTTAGCTTATATGGATACAAATAGTAGCTTTGGGAATGAAATTTATTCTAAACACAATTTTTTATGCTGCTTCACAGATACTCTTGACTTGATTTGCTTACTCTTTTTTCGTTCGATTCCTCCATTTTATTGTCTTTCTGAGTGATGCTGCTGGCTATTACTGTACTGTTTTCTCCCATTTTATTAAAAAGTAAAAGTTTAAGGTATTCTTCTCGTTGTATGAGTGGAGATGCTGATGCAGATTTAAGCTTTAGTTTGTGAAAGATTACATTTGTTTAAAGCGTATTCGTATGTAACTTCTTATATAAGCTAGTTCTTCAGAATTTCAGCTGTTTATTGATGGCAAGATTTCTTACTTCGTGGTTGTTGCTAATGTTAGCAACCGAAACAGAATGTCTGTTGCCACTGACCAGTAATTGATATATGTATTTGCTTTTTCATAAACAGTATGGGAGCTTTCCTGCTTAGCGCCGGTACCAAAGGTAGCAATTCCTGTAGACCTGTGGTTTGTATAATTTGTGGTTTTGTGTCCTAAAGTGTGCTAAGTACTTTTCATATTTTCTGCATTAATTAACTGAAGGAAAAAGGTACAGCTTGCCAAATTCGAGGATAATGATCCATCAGCCTCTTGGTGGAGCTCAAGGTGGGCAAACCGACATCGATATTCAGGTATGTTATTTGTTTCCAGTTGTGAAACCTATCTGTGTCAACCGAAAGCCCAAAAGGATTAACCTATCTCCTTATATAGTGGGACCTCAAGTTACTTTAGCAATCGCATCTTGCTCAATCTTTTATTGCTGGTCATCATGCCTGTCTATTTTGGTACTTCAACCTTTATATGTTAAAGTAGAACTCTCGATGTCTTGAAAATTTAACCTGCCATTAAGAAAGATTAGATTTTGAAGATTTGTAGAAGGCTTTGGTCTGCTATTTTCTTGGTTGGCGTGTCTTGTTTTTAACCCGTCATCAAATCTATAAGCAGTTGTCATTCTATGCAGGCAAATGAGATGCTACATCATAAGGCAAACTTGAATGGTTATCTCGCCTACCACACTGGTCAAAGTCTTGAAAAGATCAACCAAGACACAGATCGCGATTTCTTCATGAGTGCGAAGGAAGCCCAAGAATACGGGCTTATAGATGGCGTTATATCGAATCCACTCAAAGCTTTCCAACCTTTGGCAGCCCCAACTGCGATTGAAGATGAATCTGCTGAGCAGACGGTTACAGACAGTTAGAGGTGAATCTAGTGTCCGAACCTTACGGTTTGTTGCAAGTAACGACCTTTATATGTTGTAGAGTTGTATGGTGAGGAGAGGGATATATTTACGGGGTTAACTTTTAATGCTGGATGGCGTTAATATCCGTCAACCAGTGTAGAGAAACGCTAGTTTTGTTGTTGGTTTCCTCTGAATAATACTTGAATCATGAAAGAATATAAATTTCTCTTGGTATCCTTAAGCATCCTCTTCTGATATGAAATAAAGAGGGATACAAAACCCTCTGGCATTGTCAATCAGTAGTTTCCTTGTTACACCTCTCTCCCCTGAATTTTTTGTTCAATGGTATGACCGGTTGCACTGTCAGACCCGCTTACAAATAAATGATCCCCTACAACTAGATACGTTGTTCTAAAAGAGGGAAGGGGGATTCTCTTCGGATCCATTTTGTGGGGATCTAAGAATTTTCACATTCTAACCGTTTATTGTACATTGTGCGATTAGTTTTGGTTAGATACTATTTGTGTTTAAGTTTAAATAAAAAAAAGTCAAATGATTTCTGATCACACGATACATGATGAATGGCTAAGATATGGGGATCCTAAAGTGGATTCGGATGGGATCCAATTCCCTAAAAGAGAACACTCGCCTAGCGCTATATAGGTCCCGCCTATACGCTAGACGGCTGGTTATCAGTCCGATTAATTCTTAAGCCTTTTAAAATTAAGAGATGGTGCCTAAATCAATCTAGGTGGCGACTCTCACTTAGGCATAAAATAGATAACTTTTATTTTGCATTTTATTTTTTAAATAAATTGTTAGAAACTTGTTTAATACTTGGATTCACACTCAGTACATGCTTGTTCCTTTTCAATTGTTCTAATACTTTATAATCTATATGTCATTCTATTTTGCAATTTATATATTATAATTATATATTTTTTAAGTATAAGTAGACATTTATTTATATGTTATACAATAAATTTAAGGTAAATCTCAGTTTATTACCCTAAAATTTCGTGGTTTTTAACATTTGGAACATGAAATTTTTTTCATCTCAGAGTCGTACTTAAGAGTAATTCCACCTCTAAAAAAATGCGACAACACCTAGCCTATTTAATCCACTCAATGAACAGTGATAGACCACAATGAACAGTAATAGGCCAAATGCATCTCCACTCCTAAAACTAAATAGCCTAGTCAATTTTATTAAAATATTATTATAAAATAATAATTTGATTTTTAATTTCTGGCATGATCCCTTTTTCTTCTTCTTCCCACTTTTCTCAAAATGGTCTCTTTAGACTCCCTTCTTCTTTTTCTTCCCTGATTTTCCAACTGTGTGGTCAAGCACAGTTTCACCACTTTTTCTTCCCTTCTTCTTTATATTCTCTTCAAATCGCCAAGACCTATGTGAGATCAGCCAAGTTCGTCCCGACCCAAATTCAAAGACAAGGGGAAGATTGAAGCTTTCTAGAGGCGGAAAGAGATAAAGATAGACAGGGAGGGTTTTGGATATGGAAGCTCGAGTTGGGGTGGTGGTGAAAGGAAAGTAGAGAGCTTCGAATTCAGCTCAGGGAGGCGTGGCGGTATCGCCTGGCATCATGTAGGTCGGGCAAGGGCTCAGCACATTCTGAGCCGGCCTAGAGACCAGCTTGGGCTAGGTGCCAACCTATTTGCTTGACTGGAGTGGATTGGCTGGGTGCTGGGCCAATAATTCGGATGGGTGCCGGCCTAAAGGTTCGTCGGTGAAATTGCTCTAAAGTGTTAATTTTGGGACAGTCTCATACATCCGTTAGTCTGGCTGTTAAGTCTCCCGTTAAGGGTAGTCAACTGAGATTTACCCATAAATTTAATTAAAATTGAAAAAAAAAAACGTCTAGGTCCCCGCCCTGCCTAGACGCCTAGGCGCTTGGTTCCTGTCTGCTACCCAACTGGCGCCTAGCATTTTTTAGAACCTTGTCAACGTAAGAGTTGCACTCCTTTGTGTGTGGGTTTAATAGTCTATCTAGTCCTGATGTCAGGCACGAGAATTTCTCTCCTTTAACGGTGGTGGTGAACTTGTTTAAACCTGTTAATGCTGATAACTTAGAGTGGTAGAAAAGGATAATGATTGATGATTGGAATCTTCAAAAGCTTGAATGACTTGCACGGCACGTGACTTGCACGCGTGGTCCAGAGATGGCTACTTGTTATAGTTTGATGTTTGGCTTTTTGTAAAGGGAATCTGCAACCATAAAACACCAAAAAAAACAAATAAAACGTAGACTTTGTGGGTTGCACAGATTCCAGTACCTAATCCTTATTTTATTAAAAAAATTAAAGAAAATAGCAAGGAAAGAAACAAACAAACATCTCTCCCTCCTAATCCTTATTTTATTAAAAAAATTAAAGAAAATAGCAAAGAAACAAACAAACAAACATCTCTCCCTCCGTCGCTTCCTCCACCAAATCAACCGAATCCGAACGGATTTTTTTTGTGAGAATTTCAGAAATTTGTAAATTATGTTGGTTTATTGTATATTGTGCGTTAGAAATTATCTTAAATATATTTTTTAAAATTAAACATAAATAGTACCTGACAAAATTAATCGCACGATGTACTATGAATGGACACGATTCACTAATCCTCAAGATCCTCGCCAAAAGAATATGGAGAGGATCCTGTTGGAAATCAACCACCCACAAGGCTAAAACTCTCTGGAAAGCAGGACGGAGGACGTCTCTTCCACCGAACCAAAACCACTCAAGAAAAAGAGAACACTCACTAACAACACCACATCTCCAAAAGATGTGTGAGAGCACACGTGCACCTCGTGCCATCTTTAATTAACTTATAGATAGCATCTCTCAATGTGTGGCGAGAGAAATTTAACTGTATTGACGTGATTACGTATTGTTGTGTGTTTTGATTTTTTGCACAATAGTATGCAATTGACTTAGATATCGTCATTGATGCATTCCAAGTGCTTGCTAAAATGATGGTTCCCAGGCTGATTAAGTAGCGTCACGTGTTTTGATTTTTAAGAATGTGTTTCGATTCTTTTACATGCGAATGTGTAATCAAGTAAGATATTGACATTGTGGCATTCCAAGTGCATATCATGGACGCGGTTCTCTAGCCAATCAACATGTGCATGCGTTTCCATTTTTACCCATAACAATACGTAATTGACTAAAATATCATCGCTGCTAATTTCATTCCAGATGCATACAAATTCTTTTCGACCATGTGTATGTATGTATTAGAAGGACAGTGTTGAAGTGACTTAAACCTACCCCCACTCGATCATTAACTTTTTTCTCATGAGTGTGATGACAAAGTGATCCAACTTTTCTCATTTTGTGAACCCAAATATTAGAAAAAAAATAAAGATGCCAACAAAAAACGAGTGGTAGTGGGTTGTGTGGGATGAACAAGAACAAGAAGATGACATATATTATTGACAATACATATATTTTAGGTACATAGTTCTAAAAACACTAAAAAACAAACGTTTTAATTTTCACATGGATCAAGAAGGGACAGAGGGAATCCTTTCAATTCCAAAGGAAAGATTGTTAGTCCTCCCCATGAAGCTTGGGAAGGATGAAAATGTTGGCAGTTCTTCAAGCTCATCAAAAAAGTCATTGTTTTCTTCTGATAATTTGGGTGTTGAGAAGCTCATCAGCTGAGAATATGATAGTGACAGTGGCTCTTGCTCTTCATCCAACAAGAACCCAAAACTCGTGTCGTGAGCCGTAAAAATGTGTTCGTCTTGGGAAGATCTGATTGGGGATTCGATGTAGTGGAAGTGTTCTTCCAATTTCCCATGTTCTTGTTCTCGATCTTGTTTTTTATCCTGATCTTGCTTTTGATCTTGTTCTTGTTCTTGTTCTTGATCATCTTCTTGTTCTTGCTCTTGCTCTTGCTCTTGCTTCTGATCATCTTCTTGTTCTTGTTGGGTGGTGGAGATCACATTCACATCAGGAGGACCTGGATGATTGTGGCTGGAAGTGTAGGTAATTATGAGAACTGAAGCATCAGTTTTGCTTCTTTCCACTTGTTTTTTCGCCGAGCAACCTTTCGATGTACTGCAACGGTAGTATCCCCTGCATCATCGAGTGGTTGCTCGGTCAGTCACGGTGCAAACCACTCGTATCAACAAAAATACCAACAAAACTGAAACATATTGTGAAATCCCACCATATACTAACCAAAGTTTCCAAATTTTGTTGATACATGATCATAGATGACAACATGCATGAGTACAAATAATCAAGGTAGTGATTTTCCCCTTGTGCACTTCTCCCTTGTAAAAGTTCATGAAAATGGGTGTGAAAATTCACTTTTTGTATGAGGACTTCCTAATTTGATTAGAGGAGATTGACAATTAATATGTCAGACCATTGAGTGATTGATCATGAGAAAAGAGAAAAATATAAAACCTTGGATAAGGAGATCCTTTGATGGGTTTTTGGCCATACTTCCTCCATGACCAAAGATCGGAAGGCGGCCCTTCGTTCTTTAGCTTCCCAACATTAGCTCCTATCTTCACTGTCACAACAGTCTTCTCATGAACCACCTTCCTACAACAATACAAGAACATGTATATGTTAAAAATAAAAATAACAAAAATACTTATACAAGTTTATGATCAAATTTTGAAGGCAGTGATTTTCACGCTCCCAGTTACTCCTTCTGCACTCCTCCCTTTGTTTCGGTACATCGTTTTTTGTTTGGTTTAGATAGATATGTACCTACCTTCTTTTGGATGGCTGATTTTCTGGCCTGAGATTTTTTGAAACATCTGAGTCTGGTTCTGGAGAAAGGGTTTCATCCATGCTCCTCCTCCTTGGTGATGCTCTATCTTCTTTTTTCTGGGGACGGAGGAAAGGAAGCTGCAGAAGCAAATGACACTAAAAAGAAGGAAGAAATGGATCGAGATGAGACAGAAGAGTTGTCCAATTGATTAAGAGAGAGAAACAGAAGAGATAGAGAGAGAGAGAGAGAGGAAAGGGAAAGCAAACGAGGAGGATAAGCTAAGAGATGACAGAAACCCCTCCAAGTTGCTTTCTCTCTTCCTTTTCACTCATTTAATATAAATTTATGAACAATTACTATATGCACTGCACATATAACCACCTCCACCTTCCTCCCTCTCTTTCTCTCTATTAGCATATAGCCCCACCCCACCACATATCCAGTATTATTGCCCCACTAATTAGACTAGAGCCATGCAAAGGGATATTTTCCATGGA